GTTATTCATATGAAAAAGAGTTCAGTATACAAAGGAAAGGTTAGAAAATATGAGGTCTGAAAAAAAGAGTGAAAACAATGTCTCCCCTAGTGACTACCAGGTCCCAACATTCCCGGATTTAGTACCTGGTATCTTGAGTTCTGAGCCAAGATCACAATAAAATTATGATCTTATCTAAGAGGGAAATAAAATGTTTACACAAACAAATGAGCATAGGCAGTTTTCACTCTCAAAGTTCCAGAGATAAATAAAAAATTCCACTTTTTTATCCTATATCTTGTAAAATGGAAACAAAATAGAGGAAACTGAAACAAAAGAACATTTAAGACATGAATTGTAAAACGCATGAAAATACTGGAGAGGATGGTGTTCGGCTTATTCCCTGGGAAGGATCTTGAAAGGTATCTTGGGCTTTTTTATCCTACTTCATTAGTTTCCTCAGCTCTTTTAGGAGAGACCTCGCAATAAGAATAAATAAATAGTTCAGTGTTTTTGTTCGTTCAATCCACATACTTAAATGTAGTCTAACAGTGTCAAATTCTCATGTGGAAATCAATCTAATAGAAAACAGATTGTGATCAACAACTCATTGCACAGAAGAACACTATAAAAAGAGAATAATAAAAAGGAGAATTTATTCTGTGTTCTGTTTCTGACTGTCACATGTGCATTACATAATGGTAAAGCAGTCCTTTAATTTAATGTGAAGCTTGGCTTCTGTTATGGCTTTTATCTAGATATCCCCCCAAAGCCTCAGGTAGTCATAGGTGGGGCTTTTCAGAGGTGGTTGAATCTAGAGTATGTAATGCTGGGATTAAATTGTGTGATGCTGGGACTAAGGGTGCGTGATTATTAAATTGTCCACTATTATCCATCTGTCCCCCCAAAGCCTTGGGCAGTCTAGGTGGGGCTTTTCAGAGAAGGCTGGACCAAGGGTGTGTGCTACTGGGATCAAGGATGTGATGCTGGGATTGATTCATGGTGTGATGCTAGGATGAAGGCTGCCCCATCATGGGTGTGAGTGCTATGCACCCTAAGTGTGGGTACCTGGACAAAGGGACAGAAAGAGCATCACTACTTGTCACTTGTAGCTTGCTGCTTGCTGCTTCCTGCTTCACTGCTACCTGCCTTCTGTTTCTGCTCTGTGACGCCTCTCTGTCACACCTTGCCTGGGAACCAGGCACCTATGAACTGAAACCTCTACAAACTGTGAACCAAAATAAACCTTTCCTCCTTTAACTTCGAGTGTTGGGGATTTTGGCTCAGCAATGAGAAAAGTAACTAAGACATCCACTGATTGGTATAGTACAGTTCTGAGTACAGATAATGGGAAGGGCCACCCTCGATGTGAGTGCCACTACCCAAAAGGCGGGTACAAAGGGACAGAAGACAGGTTTTCTGCAAACATTGTTTACTGCTCCTACTTTGCTCTTTTCTGCCTGCTCTGACATGGACCGTTTCTCCTCCATGACGCTCTTCTGCCACGCCTCCTTGCAGCCAGCTGACTATGGACTGAAACCCCTACAAACTGTGAGCCAAATAAATTTTTCCTCCTTTAACTTTGAGTGTTGGCTAATTTGTTTCAGCAACAAGCAAAATAAGCGAGATAGCTTCCAATCCTATAAAATGGGAACAGCTGTGGACCACGTGTGGCGAGCTTTAGTCTATGGGAGAAACCAAAGGAAGCTAGGAGCAGAGACATGGAGGTAAAAAGGCAGAATAAAAAGAAACGTTTACGTCAACCAACAATGAGAACTTTGCATGCGCTGATCAGTCATTAGCTTTAGGGACACTTTGCTTCTACGTTAAAGACTTCAAGTAAGCCATTCAAAGAGTTTTATCTATGTTCATATCAGAAACTACTTTTGAGTAAACAGTAAAGTATACTAATTTTTAATTAATTAAAACAAGCAACACAACCTAAATGTCAATGCCTGGACCCTGAAGTCAATAGACAGGATTTTAACCTACCTTCATCATTAATTTTTTGTATGAGTCTGTAAAATAGGACTAATACTTGAGGATTAATTCTGATAATATACCTAAAGCATTTATAACAGTACCTGGTATAGACTAAGCATTCAACTTTTGTTATCAATGAGATATATTCCTTACTGTGCAAACAGCTTGAGACAATTATTGAAAATAGCAATTAGAAATACTGGTAAACAATGCTTGTGTTCAGTTTAGCAACTATTTCCCATTCTGTGTGTATTGTACTGGAGATGATTACTGTTAGATGGGATTTTCTAGCTTGGTGGATACTGGACTTAAACAAGGCAGTCCTTGCCTAGGCAAGGTTGTGTCTATTGACAAAATTAATTGTATTAGTCCATTTTCCATAACTATAAAAAGTACTTGAGGCTGAGCATTTCATAAAGAAAAAAGATTTGTTTAGCTCATAAATTTGGAGATAGAAATTCCAAACAATATGACCCAGTTCTGCCAGGGGCCTGGATGACTGAATCATGTCATAGTAGCCAGCACCATGACTAAAGCACACTAAGAGGGAGAGACCACACAATGAGGCAGGAAATCAGAACACAAGGAGGGGCCAGTAAAGACCTCCCACTAGGGGCTGGGGATTTAGCTCAGCGGCAAAGCGCCTGCCTGGCAAGCACAAGGTCGTGAGTTCGGTTCCTGGTACCAGAGAAAAACCAAAAAACCAAAAAAAAAAAAAAAAAAGACCTCCCACTAGACCTACCTCTTAAAGACTTCACCACTTCTCAACTTTAACACATTGATGACCAAGTTTCTACCTTATAAACCCTTAAGAAACAAGGTACAACCAAATAGCAGCATCTAAGGAGAAAATCTATAGTCTTTTGGGTATGAACCTCACTAAACTCATAAGAAGGCTGTAAACATTTCATATGAAAAAATGCTATCATGTCTTTTGCTCTTAGTGAACCTCAACTAAAAGTATGTTTGACTTGATTTTCAATTTAAATATTTTAAGAAAATATACTAAAATATGTATGTATATATATGTGTATATATATATATATGTATATATGTGTCTCCAATCTATATTGAATCAGTTGATTTCCTGACCCTTTATTATCCCTCTACTTTTCTGTATTTTCACATTCACTCAGCAAATAATTACTACTTAATTACTGGTGCTAATCAGTGTGTGAGGGGCTGAGGATCCAAGGATGAGTAAGTCTTAAGGAATCAAACGCTCTTGGGGTCATGCAAACATAAATGCATACTCAGAACAATAATTTCTGAGAAATGCTATAATCAAAGTACCACATGTGCTTATGAAATGACAAGTTTGCGTTAGAAAACAACTTCTGAATTGGGTCTTAAAACATAGTATAATCTTGCAAAGTAGAAAGGGGACTGACCCTGATGGAAAGAACACAAGTAACAGAGAAAAATTTTGCTAAAAAGGGATAGTATTTCTAAAAAATAAGTAGCTAGTACTACAGGGACCAAATGACACAAATATTATTAGGAGTTTCTGCTGGCCCTATTTTCCTTTCATTCCTCCCTACTTTATCCCAAAGTGAACAGCCCTGGGGAATTCTATAACCCACCTATAACATGTGTAGATGATAATCGTAGTAGGTCCTGGTACTTCTCAATGTGGGTATAGCAAGAAGAAGAAAGGAGAAGGAGAAGGAGGAAGAAGAGGAGGAGGAGGAGGAGGAGGCAAGAAAAAGAAAGGATGGAGACGCAAAAGAAGGAGGAGGAGAGGGAAAGAGGAAGAAGATGGGGCAGAAGAAGAGGAGGAAAAAGGAAAAGGAAGTAGAAGGACATGAAGAGTGAGAATGAGGAAGTAGAAGGAGATTAAGAAGAGGAGGAGGAGGAAAAAGTAGAAGGAGGAGGAGAGGAAATCAACTGTGAGATAATCTACACCTTGGATAATAGAGTTCATACTTCAATTCACACTTGAATCTAATCCCAGTGGCAGGTATCAACTGGGAACCCAGATGAAATGCCAAAGCAATAGCCTGTGGTGCTCTAGATGGGACCACAGTCTTCCCAACAGATTTCACAAGGCAGGAAAGAGTCCTGGCATCAGACACAGAATCCTCAAGCTAGAGAATGGTTGTGAGCCTTTTCTTCATCCAGAATTTAAACAGCACCAATTCTCAGAAGTAGAAAGCAGTTTGTTTCTATTGAATATAGAAAGCATTTTTCATCCCACAAGAACTTGCTTATTTCAGTACAATAGGAATAGCACATGCAAACGTGTGTATATGTTGATGTATTTCAGTATAACAGGAATAGCACATGCAAACATGTGTATATGTTAATGTAGAAAGCATTTTTCATCCCACAAGAACTTAATTATTTCAGTACAATAGGAAAAGCACATGCAAACATGTGTATATGTTGATGTAGAAAGCATTTTTCATCCCACAAGAACTTGCTTATTTCAGTACAATAGGAAAAGCACATGCAAACATGTGTATATGTTGATGTGTAGAGATGCAAACGTATATATGTTGATGTGATATTTTATATATGATAAAATGTATAAAACAAAGAACAGAAAATATAAGGTCAAAAGGAGAATAAAAACAACATTTCCTTGCTGTCAGTGATATATATTGTGTAAGTATATATATCAGTTGTCATGTGCAGTGTATTCCAATAATGCTTTCTGCCTTAAGGAAATTCTATATTTATAGCTATATCACATATTTTCTTTACTTAAGAACTACATCTCATAGATAACTACATTGTGATATCATAAGACTCAATGAGTTCCAGAATGATTATATGCTTAGAATTAAATTATGATGAATTGAGAGTTACATTTCTTAATATAATTAAAATGAATGTGGTGAGTCATACACCATATTCAGCAGTATTTTATCCACTCCAACCAAGACACTGGGAAAGAGGCACAAATAAATCACTTTTCCTTGGAGATTACAAAAAGCAGTTCAGAGAAACAGTCACACAGTGACACAGCATTTTTGAGTAGCTACAAAGAACAACATCCATATGGTCCCTGTCTAATGTCATCCTCTCATCCTTAGCCATCCACACTGTGGCACATTTGTTCAACCTGGAGCGCTTCCACTTGAGCCAGTCAGAGGATGCCCAGGGACTTGTGGCTGCACTTTCCAAACTTGGCAGCGCCCCAAATGAAAGTTACCTCAACCCTGTCCGAACCTTCCACATGGTGAGTTCCTGCGTGCTAACTAGTTACCCTTCAGAAAAATCTTCCCTTTTCCCATCCCTTCATCAGGAGCGACACATTCCAAAAACTTTCCATAACCAACCAGAGAGATTTTGGCCAAATATTAATTTCACCTTTATCTTTTAAGTCAGTTTTGCAAATCTTATGCTGAGAGGTTATGAACAAGGAGAAAATATATGCCACTTAATTAAGAAAATGTATATGTTACTTAAGAAATGCAATAACCTGTTAAAGCCCTAATATTTTTAACTTTTAAGAGCAACTTTTGATCAGATTTTTTCACTGATGTCAGACTCATAAAAACTGAGGTGCCATCTAAATCCAGAGAAGATAAAATGGATGTCTTCATTTTCAATTTGCAAATTGTTTTCTGGATCTCTGCTCCTAGCCTCATATTTTGGCACACATGAATAATGGGTTTGCCAAATCAGACTCTGGGCAAAAAGTTAATCTCATAAGAAGACCTACATGGCTAGGGAATCTTTTTTTTTTTTTTTTTTTTTTTTTTTGGTCTTTTGAGACAGGGTCTCACTATGCAGTTCAGGCTGGTCTTGAACTCACTTTGTAGTCCAGGCTGGCCTCGAACTTGCAATGATCCTCCTGCTTCAGCCTCCCAAGTGCTAGGACTGCAGGCATGTGCCACCATACCTGGAATAGTGATATTATTGATGCTAATTTTCTATGAATACAGAGCAACAGAACCTGTGAGGAAGAAAAAAAATAAGTAAAACTATAGCCCCAGCAATCCCCTTCAGTGATAAGAATATTTCTCTCTCTCAATTCACTGCTTTCTTTTTGTAGTTTAGCTAAGTCTTTTTCCATGTATTACCATATCAGAATATATATCTGTCATTGTGACCAAGTTTTCAAGAATCTTAAAAGTAAAGTCTTCCAACAATATGCTACAGACAATATGCTATAGTAATAGACATCTGTCCATTATTATCAGGGATATAAATTGTAAAAGTGGCCATTTGCCTCAAATAGCTTTCCTTGATTGAAGAAAATCCAAAGTCTTTTTGGGGAGATTCACCCCTGTCAAATTCCTAATTACCCCAGGTTGATTTTCAATATGAGGCCATGGATCAAGTTGAACTACCTTTTCTTAACTGACAGCAATTAGAAGCACAATTTTCACAGTTATAAATCAAAGCTACCAATGCCCTAAGCATATGGGAATGAATGCCCTGTTGTCACTGAGCTGAGTTACAGCATTTTTCTGGGCACCTATTGGGGTTAATGCACCTTCCCACAAAGGCGCTGGAAATTCACAGCTACACAGGCCCAAGAATAAATCTCAACATTATGAAGAAACTATATAATAAATAGTATTTATCATAAATAACTTTTAAAGCTATTGAACAATATAATTAAGCTACTCCTGGCAGAGTTATTTCAAAATTATAAAAGCAATATACTATGTAAGTACTAATTAAGCTCAAAAAACCCTCTAATTTGGGGTATTTGGAAAGAGATGAGCATCAATAACAAAGTGTACATTACAGAGCATTTCAAAAGAGATGCAATGGGATTGCTTCAGAGAGGATTCATTGCAACTCAAACCAGTCTATAAATGTGTTGCTAGAAAAAAATGTAAAAATTTTCTTTAATAGTCAAAGAAGAATGATTTGAAATTAGCACCTCATATGTTGTAAGTGGATTTCTAAAATGCCTGAGTGTACTTGCAAAAGAAATCTCTTAAATGTTTGAGATATACCCCTTTCGATTTTATTTCCATTTCTTGCTCTGCAAAGAAAAATAAACAATGGAGACGTCCCTGTCCAAATTACCTCCAGATCTCAAAGCAGCCCAAATTAATGAGGTTTTACTGACAAAAGATATAGTGTGAGTTTATTGAGCTCATGGTCGACTCAACGGTAGTAGCACAATGTATGAATACTAATGATGAGGCAAGAATATGGGAAACTCACCATAAAAACAAAATGCTTTATGATTCATATTTGAAAAGGCTATTTAATTGTCCTTTGCACTCAGGGGTCAGAATTCTGGCCTTTTGAAAGTATCTACAAGGCAAGGATAGTTGTACCTTTATTGATCACCAGGATTTACCAAGCCATATTTCAGGCCCCCTGAGGTGGTGTGAAAGAAATGCAAGTCATGGTCCTTCCAATTAAAAAGCAAGAGCAAGGAATAACAACCAGAGGAACAGAGTGTGTAGCTGCTGCTTTATTAGGAATGCCCCTGAGGGACCTCTCAAAAATGTGTTTATTAATGTTAAAATGCAATTAAGTACAGTGATCTACATTTTCATTTTTAAAATTAAAAACTTAAAACAGATTTACTTTGCAGCACTTTATCTTAAAATGCTCTCTTTATGTTTTGCGCTAATTTCAATTCTGCACAGCAACTTTGACATGAAAATTAATTTATACAAGTGGAAAAATGTAATTATTGTCTTGGCATTTTATAAAATTTGAGCAAAGCAAATGTCTACTATAAGATAGGGGGAAAGGGAGAGTAAGGAAATTGATTTCTTGAGTTCTATGTGGATCCTTTTGAGGCTAATATGCTTCTGAGTATGGCTCTTGTCTTTGACCCTCAAGCACTGATGCTGAAAAACACAAAAATGTACTAAGATATTAATGTTGTGGCTTTTGTTTCTGTTAGAACACAATTGCTGGGAGGGTTACGACAATAGCAGGCGTTACTGGCTTGGTGATCTCTCTGGCTTTGATCTTGATCATGACTTCCTCGACGGAGTTCGTCAGACAGTCCTCCTATGAATTGTTCTGGTATACACACCACGCTTTCATCATCTTCTTTATCAGTCTGGCTATTCATGGGTTAGGGTAAGTCCATACTATGCTTAGTAGGTAAAGATTGTTCTCTCTGTGAACTTCAAAACAATCTTGGGAAGGCCTTTTGATGGAGGGAAATGACATGCAGTGACTAAAGGACACATATGTGAAAGCACATGTTCACTGTAAAAAATAACTCCGTTTTGTACACAGAAAATAAGGTACATAGGTGGGGTAGCATACTTATTTTTCCTAGCTGACTCTGTTAGTGACTCCTGACATGTTTCTCAGGTTCAGGAATTCTAATGACCGCTGGATGATAGTGGATCTATGTTTCATTCAACACCAGTGTTTTCAATCCAATTTATGTAAGGCTAGTCAGGAGATAAACTTTTGACATCAGCATTTCACTTCTGCTTAGCCAAAGCCGTCAATCCGGCAGCCTGGTGTGTGGGAGAGACAGTGTGTGAGATGGTCGCTCCAACCTGAGCTACTCACTGGAGCAGTAAAAAATCCCTTTGAGTTTCCCATTGATCACTGAGATTCTTCATTCAGACATCTCAGAAGATGTTATACTTGGACCCTTTTGAAGATAATATACTCAAAAGATACTGTTCTGGCCTTCAACATCTGCCTGATAACTGTGCCTTCATTCATTTTGAAGCTGCACTAGCGTTGAAGTATTTGAAGGCATGCAATGTGCTTACCCTCAAATAAATTTTTTAAAAATTCTTTAAATACTAATTAACAGCCCTGAATGGGTTAGATAATCAATGCCTAGAAATGACCTTCTCCCTTTTAATTATTTAATAAATGGACACTTTTTCTTGTCCATGTTACAACTTTCAAAGCACTTTCATATGTATGATCAATTTAGAAGGTGTAGTTATCTCATTTCGTAAGGAGGACTTAGATGGATGCTCAAGGGGTTGGACAGGGCAAGTAAATTCCAAGATAAATGAATGGCAGAGTCAAACCTAGGACACCAGCCTTTAGATAAGTAAATCTCTACTCTTAACAAAACTTTGAAGAAAAAAATATGACCTCACTTGTTCTAAGTTAAACCTCTGTCATTCCCTGAAAGAATATTCCCAGTGATGCTCAAACACTTGTATGGCTTAAAAGCCATTCTTGCTCTGTTTCCTACACCAGCAGAATGCTTCTTCTGCTCCCCATTCTCCTCTCATCGCTGAGGGTAAAGGTCATGGATCGGAGGTGGGCTCCATCTCTCTGCAGACTCAGAAGAGTAGGTACACAACTGCAAAGATGACCCAGTCCAAGAAGGAAAACACACCTTAATGACTGGAGCTCCTACTTGGGACCCTACTGGGGTTTGCATTTCCACACATCAATTGCCTACACCAAACTCCCTTCCTACAGGAGATGCCCCTTCCTTCCTCAGCTTCCCACTTCTAGAAGGGGTCACACTTTTTAGGTTCCACTCCTATGCCTCACTGAGAGCTCCCCACCATCCCTCAGCTTATCTGACACACACACACTTTATAGAAGAGTTACCTAAAAGGGCAAATTTTGCCATAAAAGACTGCCCTTCCCTCTGCTGATCCTCATAACTTGCTCTGCCAGCTTCTACTTGTATGCTGCTACATGGCTAAAGGCCTTCTTTCTATTCTCTTTCCACCTAAAAGTATCTGCAATTGACTCTTTGGAGTGCTGAAATCTCATATTTCTTGTTCGCTTGGAGGGCAAGGAAGAAGGTGTATGCCAACCCATAGATTGGCCGTCCTGTCTTCTACCACTGATTCTTCTCCCAGTGCCACTGGGGCTGTTATCCCTGATACCACATTTCTGAGGCTTTTGATATTCCATGATGTCTTGAAGTCCCCAGAAATTATACCTGCATCTCCATAAATACATGTCCCTTCCATGTGTACCCTGATGCACTCATTGCAAAAGCACCATGGGGTTTCAGTGGACAGTGTTACACTGGAGATATTTTTCAAATATCCAAATAACATTTCATGAGATGAAACTTTTCAGTTATTTAACCTCCTTGAAAGGCTTATTTTGGGATAAGTGTCTTGTTTAATCTTCCCAGCTTGAAGTATTCTACAGCTCCTGTTTACAGCAAAAGTAATTTGCAAATGTTACACAAAATGCCAAGAAAAAGTGGGATTATTAGAATGTGTTAAAGCCCATTAATCTACCTATTATGGGATAGTGTAGATAGAAACATTAAAAATGTTTTAAAAAATTTAAAAGATAACAAATGCATACACTGAATGATCTGGAGTCTCTTTTAGATGATATGAGAAATGTTGTCTAATGCCTGAGAAGGAAGGCACTGAAATTTGCAGTCCATCCTCTGGCCTCATTCATTAGTCACCCTTCTATGCCTAGGCATCATTTGTGCATTAGAGATTCACAGTCAGTTTTGCTCAGGGAACTTGAAGGGAATGTTATCAAGCTCACATGTCTTCTGTGAAACACCCTGACAAAAGCCAGCATGTCAGTCCTAGCTGACACTAGGCTGTGTCCGAGGGCATTGTTGCTCCTCTTCCAATGCCCTATGATACAGAAGGGGACTGCTTCTATGCAGAATACCCAGGACAGAGTCTGTAAAGTTTCTGTTTATGAGCTGCTTGTTTCTCAAAATAAATCAATATACCTTATTCATAAACATCTAGGAATTGAGCAATTCCCAGTTACATGACCTCCACATCTGGTGCTTTGCAGCCAGAACACCCGTAGGTAACCTTGGAAGTTTGTACCAAAGCAATTTGTCAGAGGTCCGTCACAGATGCATTTGTGACAAATACAACAGGATTACAGGACTCTTCATCCAGTGCTCCACTCACAAAGCCTGGCTTCTCTTTCTGGTCTTAAATTTATCTACACACTCTCGAAGATATACTTTATAGTGACCTATTTTGACCCTGTCAAACACTAAGCCTGCTTGCTAGTGGTCACTGAGAGAAGAAAATACCATTATTCAGCGCACTTCTTTTGACTTCTTCACTTGAAAACTTCTAAGTTATCAGAAACAAACTAAGAAGAAGTTTAAGTAGAAGTTAAATCAATCTGCAAAAGAACCAAATAGTACAAAGTTAGCCAATTAGCCCAAATCAGCAATCAGGACGAGATGAAACCTAATTAAATTCAACGGTCTACAAAAGCATGTGTTCAAACAATTTCCTTCATTATGAATTCTCTAATATAGACACTTTCAATTTAACACAGGGCACCACAGAGGGGCACTTCTTTTCGGGGATCTTCAAAGTTATCCAAAGCTTTTTAAATGCCTATTTTTAAAGATGCTGAGAGAAATGAATGACAGTTTAAGTTTCAAGAAATGGAAGTGTTGTTTCAGAGCCCACTGTAGGATACATACATAGCTATGGTATAATGAGACTGCACAAAATCAGTTTGATATTGTGTGTGTGTGTGTGTGTTTTTTTTCATAAGTCGAATTATTCGAGGCCAAACTCCAGAGAGTCTCCTGCTACACAATGTCACCTTCTGTAGAGACCACTATGTTGAATGGCAGGCAGCTGGCCCGTGCCCTGTGCCTCAATTTTCTGGCAAGGAACCTTCGGTAAGAATGAAACCAAGAGCTTTTAAAAATAACTGTCCTCACAGTTAAAATAACTACAGCTTTTATATGCTTGAGAAAAAAATACACCGGTAGACAAAGCCAACTCTTTATTAAGTGTGCTAATGGACAAATCAAGTTATGGATAATTTTAAGAGAGGTTTACTGCCAAAAGCACTCTGCTTAGCTTTGAGATGTGTTCGTCGCTTACATTTAAATGTGGATGTCTGATATTGTGGGAATTCATACCAGCACAAAAATGTCTCTGCACTCCTGGCATCTTTAGCTGCCTGCCCCTTGAAAACTGCCTTCTCCACCCTGCAGATTAACAGCATCAATTCTCAACCTCGGATTAAGTTCAGCCAAATTAGAATCATGCCCTCTTTCTAAGCTTACCTTCTTCCTCTCCACAACTTTAAGATAAAAACCATTGGGGTGTCCAGTGTATTTACTTCTGTACTAATTAAGCTGTTATAACTAAAATGATGATAATGTAAGCCAAGAATAGACTTAATTAATTGGAGTAGATGATGATGTCTACATATCAGAAATGTGAGATTTCCTGAGCATGTTATAGTGGTTGCAGTTGGTGGCATAAGCGAATAGGAATAAGAATCTTATTAAGTCTCCTCTAGTATCCTTAAGATCGTGCAAACCTTTGGGACAGCTGGATGATGCATGAAAGAAAATAAATGAAGGTGGTAGATCAAAGCTAGGAGAAAGCAAGTGCCTGAAATATGCATGATAAAGAAAATGGGGTAATAGAATATAATAGCGCATAAATGGTGGGGATTTAGGAAATTAAGCCATCAACATAGGACGAATATAAATAATTGCTTTTCAAAAAAAGTCTCATATATTAATTTAAGCACCAGATTTTAAGGATGAAACTACTGGGAATAATGCTTAAAACTGAGAGAACCAAAATAGATGTGCCCATTAGACTGTGGCTCTTTTAAAGGCCAGTATAGATTGTCTCTGTCTTAAACTCAGCTCTCGGTAGCCACTACCCAGCCTGCATATTAATGAAGAACATGAATGCCTCTCTAAAATTTTCAGCTACAGCTTCTCCATAAAAAAATCAATACTCTCCCACACTTCATGAATACAGACCAGGGCCTGCTCCCAGCAGCGCATGCTGACATTAATTATCATTAAGAGGGGGGAACTAACCCATCTCTCTGTTAACTCTCCTCTGTTACACCTCCTTGCACACCCAAACTCAGACTGTCACTCTTTCCCATTATTTTTAATAGATCCCGATTCAGAGCGTGTGTGGGCTGTGCAATTATCGCTTGGCTGAACTATACAACATTCTCTCTGATGTCTTATAGACATTGAATCCAAAAGGCATCCCAAGGACAAGGAAGGGTTCCTGTGCTTCGCTGCACCACATCTACATGGTCATCTTTGCAATAGTCCATTGTTTCCTCTTTGCCTCCCTTAACTCAATGCATTTTCTGGATGTTTTTACTAAGAAAATATTTATCAATTTGCCTTTAGTGGTACACTACTCCCAATGTTGGATCGGAGAATGCTTTGTACATACCTGGTGTAACCTTAACTGGTCAAAGAAATTCTCCTCCCCCCCCCCATTAATTCTTCCTTTCTCCTCCATACTCACTCAGCAGCACACACAAGTCTCCAGATATCAGGATAGCTCATGCAATCCAGTCTCCATACATGCCCAGTCCTCCTTAGCCAAAGATGTGCCATATTTCATTTAACTATAGTATCAGCAAATGTTAATGATAAGGTTGATTTTTGTAAATACTAGCAAATGATGTTAGTGGTAAGGGGTGATGCTTTAATTGAAGTAGAATCCATTCAGTGAACTTCTCCAAGTAGCCATTAAATGCTTACACTTCACTAAACAAATTCAGAAACATAGGTCCTGCCCCAGGAGATCTTATTGTCTAGGAAAAAAGAGGCTATTCATAAACACACACATAAAATAAAATCAGAGCCAGCATGTTCTTATTTTCTGGTAGGAATGAAAAACCAGGAGTGAAAGTGGAGGAAACAAGTTTCATTACTGCTGCTTTTAAATCAACATAGTTTTATTTCTATCATAAAATGCTCACTGTACCGTGACTTACTGAATATTTTTGAAGAAGAAAAAATAAAGCCAAGAATATACACAGTATTTTTGCATTGAAGAAACTTACTCTAAGTAATTCTGCCCCTTTTTTAATAGATGAACAAACTGGGGTCCAAGGACTTTCAATTTCTTACCTGTGGTCAGAAAGGGCATTCCCAGCAAAGCCACATCAAGAACCAAAGCTTCTGACTGTGTGGCCACGAACCTTCCTCTGTACACCCTATATCCTTTGCTCTGACTCTCTTAACTTCCCTTAAGACATATATTTTGTAAGCTCTCTTCTGCTGTCTGCCAGTACATATTCCTAACATTGTATTTATTTCTGTGAGTAAAGCCAAAGCATTTGAGGGCTTGGGGGAACTTAAATAATAATTTTCTCCAGTCACTTCCCATTTTACAAAACAGAAAATTTGAAAATAATAAGACCCAAGATGGGCCTGAAGGCATAGGCTAGGAGGTAGTGGTCCCAAGCCCAGATTCAGGGTGCACCTAGCCACATGACCCTCCTGTTTGGGGGCAGAGGCTCCCTGTCTTCAGTCGCTCTTGTTTATCCTGGTCATCTGATCGAAGACAGTTCTGATATTCATTTCTGGTAATGTCTCACCCTCATTCCTGAATTTCCAGGACTATTAAACTGGGCTATTCCCTTCTGGAGAAATTTATGTACCAGAATAAAGATAGCACTAAGAAGTAATAGCGTACATTCTCCTCTACTAACCATAGAAAGAAAAATAATCCATTCTATTTTATCAGCATGGAAGAATCAAAGACCATTTTTGATTTGGCACCACCAAAATGAAGGTGGTGATACCCAAAATGCTCTAAAGGGGGTACAAACTATTACTTGTAAAACTACATAGGCTTTTTGCAAATCTCTCTCTCTTTCTTTCTCTCTGCCCATATAAAAAGAATTGCATTCTTCCTACCATTTCTGTAAATATCCAAACCAATTCTTAAAATCTGGCTCATTCAAGCACATGGGAGTTAAGGCTTCATTCCCTAGGTCCAATCCCACCCTGCTGCTGCTACCTGCTTTCACCTTGCTCTGATCATCTTCACTGTCTTGCCCTAGCACAGGTGGACAAAAGGTTTTATTCTTTCTGCCATTTTGAACATGTTGCTGAACCACACTGAGGTAAAAGGAATAAATGGGTCAAACTGTGTTGTGTTGTCTGCATAAATCTAGCCTGATCAGGCAAACAAGAGACCCCCCAGAAATAAAAAGCAGAAGGGGTAAATGTAGGTGAGAAGATGCAGCAGGCATACAGAACCAGAAATAAACAGAAAACAAACCAAAACATGTAGCTCTAAAGAAATAAAAGTAATACTAACGGGCTTATTATCTGTCAACCTAAGAGATGGTACAGGATAACCAGTAAGGGAATCCTGAGTGCCAAGTCCGAAGGTGAACATTTAGTGGAAAAGGCCAAGTTCAAAAGAATAAGATGCCCTTCCTGCTCCCAAGATCCTATTGGAGGAGTGAGGATTTAGAGTATCAAGAAGGAAATTTAGGGACATTTTCAAAGGTTTGAAGTCCAGCCCTGGATCTCTGAGATCTAGTTCTGTCTCTCTGGGTAACTTGAACCCTTTCCAGAAGGTCAGGTTTTTTCTGCTTGAAAAGAAAGATTAGACTAGATTTCTAAGAACCCTAACGTCCTAAATTCAATGAGTTCATGAGCTGCTAATGTACTTTAAAACAGCTTCAAGATCAATTTTAATTCTGACCAGAAAGAAATATGATTCCATTTTGATTATATGTTAAGTGTGTGGAGGAGGCCATCCAGGGTCCTAGAAAGAAAAAGCTGTGAGTCAGACACAGCTGTGTCTCATTCTGTCTGGACACCTTGTTACCCTGGTGACCCTGGATGGGGTATTAAACTTACTGAGCTTCAGTTGCCTTTCTGTAGAACAAAGAAAATATCATGTCTCCTAAGATTATTTGATATGAGACCTAGTATAAATCTTCAAAAATTTTAGGCTCCCATCCCTTCCTCTTTACTGGAAGAAAATACTTTGTGTTGTACACAACACCTGGTACAAGAACGGCCTGCTGGTAAACTGGTCAACTGTAATGCAGGTTATATTCATGAAAGGTTAATGTAGTCTCTGATTTACTGAGAAAAAAAATTTTCAATGTCCTACTTCTGAAGAAAACTGTTGATGCTTTTGTTCTGATTCTGTAACTAAAGATATAAGGTGCTAAGAAATTAGCTTTGTATTTTATTCCAAATAATAGTGGGGTTTTGTGTGTGTGTGTGTGTGTGTGTGTGTGGGTGTGTGTGTGTGTTCATTCAAACACAACCCCTAGTTGTAATGCATTGTTAGCCAAAAATAGTACTATTTAAATCTTAAATTTAATTTTCATGCCCTACATTGGCTGAGTAGTACTGTTTTGTAAGCTTCTGACTTTGGCTGAGTTTGGGAGCATTTATGACCCTATCACATGTAACATAAACATCAATCTGCTTTCTTATTTCTTTGCAAATTCAATTATTTCCAATTACATAAAGGCATCATCGATCAAGTAAACATAAAAACCAATACAGGAGAGTTTAATCTCTTAAATAAGCTTGTAGACTTCAAGGAATAATTGAGTGTTATAGTATTTAATAGAAGGAGACATCTTTGTTGTTGATAACTGGGCCCAAGTTGAAGGAAAATATCTAAATCCCATCATGTTATATATTGATTTGGTTCAAATTGAAAATATTTGGATTCTATTTTCATTTCCTTTTTCTCTCTCTCCTTTTCTGCTCTCTGCAGGCTTGGAAATGGTTTTTGGGCCCTGTATTCGTGTATGCATGTGAAAGAATAATTAGGTTCTGGCGATTTCAACAAGAAGTCGTCATTACCAAGGTATGCGTGTAGCTTTATGTCTGAATAAAAGCCTGAGTGAAGATGAAAATTTTTTATTAGCCCAAGTTTTTAATTTGCCATTTTTATTGCAGAACTGTCTGTAATTTAGAGGTTCATCTTCTGTTCTAATAATTGCTTGTATCCTGAGCATCTTTTAGTGTGACTAACTTTACTGAAGCAGGGATCAGGGCTCCAGACTGGTACACAGAATTCTGATAAAGGTTTGTGGTACGGCACTAGAATTATCTGTATTTCTCTTCATTCTGGTTTTGCACTGTAGAAAAAAGCAGAAAGGGTAAGAAAGCTTACTCTTTGTAATATTGGTCATATCATCTTTAATATTATTTTATTTATTATATTAATATTTTCTCCACGTAATGATACAGATTTTGCAAACATACAAAGAGTACACAAACATTTTCAAGCATGAACACTTTCAGTTAGGATTATTGAGCAGAGAACAAGAAAACAACCACAAGATTCAGAACACGGGTAGTGCAAGAAAGTTCAAGACAGAGAGGAAGATATATATGGCACTCCACCCTAGAGAGGGGAGGCATGTAGACAGTATTTCCCAGTCTTGTTCTCCATCCTTATAGGTTTTACATTTTTAACCTCATGCTGAAAGAAAATAGGAACAAAGAGACCAAAAGAAAATATCCAGAAGACTGAAAATTACCGAGTATTCTACCCCTACTAGTTTTTAAATTTTTTAGAAATAATTCTCTGCTAACCAACACTATACTGCTTTGCTACTACAATTTTAACAAAACACTACATCCCCTTTGCTGTCTTGAGGACAAGGAGATGTATGTAAATTCATATTTCTGCTTTAAATGGTTTTTGCATTCTTGTGTTTTAAGTTAAGTACCAAAGGATGTCAAGTTGTATCAAAACTCAGACAGTAAAATTCATGGAAAGCTTCTAGGGCTGTTGCTAAGGAGACCATTTAGAATAGCAGAACAAATAACAGAGGGGAGAGGGGAGCTAATGATGAAACGCTGTGAAATCCTCTTCTGAATAGAAAAGTACTGTCCTGATTATATATATACTAGATTTTGTTTTCCTGCTTCTTGCCCCAAAAGAAGACATAAAGGACCTGGAAAGATTTTTCAGAAGACAAGATAAAAATCTCCCAAGAAGAAAAGTAGAGTTCTTTTTTGGAATAAGAAGAAAGTTATAAACGCTACTAAAAGGTCTAGAACCCTGGAAGGATGCTTCCTTTACATCTAAAACTAAACCCTAGATAGGACACAAGACCCACTTAACTAAAACAAAAGAAAACAAACAAATTAACAAAACATTTCAGAGTGAGTTGGAAGATTATTTTTTCACTCAGCATGAATACATAAACATCCACATCAATTCACCAGGGGTTGAGAAAAAATACAGATAACTGACACATGATACAAAATCTTCCTAGAATTTTTTAAATGGGTCGATGACGGGGTGAGCCGTTTTAGAGTATAAGCATGATAGGCGATATGCATAACGTGTCAATTTGTATTCCCTTGGAACTGGTTAACTGCTGTGGGGAACCTGGCATTTTGAGACACTGAGTCACATGCCTGGCGCCACACTGCACCTGCCCAAATGTCAGCCATAGCACTCAGAAGGATGAACTTCATTCTTGCTTCATTGCAAAGCTAGACATAAAAATGGTGACAAATATCATTGACAACTAACAGCCAATGGTCTGAGTAAATCATACCGTCAAAACAGCTAATTTCAAAAACCATAGATGGACTGCAACCAATCTGCATTTCTTATTCTTTCACTTGAGTAGAAAGACAAATGACTGTCTTGCTCTAACTTAGGTGATAAGTCACCCATCTACAGTCCTGGAACTTCAGATGAAAAAGTGTGACTTTAAGATGGCACCAGGGCAGTACATCTTCCTGCAGTGTCCCGCCATCTCACCCCTGGAATGGCACCCATTCACACTTACTTCTGCACCCCAGGAGGACTTCTTTAGTGTGCACATCCGGGCATCAGGAGACTGGACAGAAGCTTTATTTAAAGCCTTTGGAGCAGAGGGACCAGTCCTCCAGGTGCCCCGCAGCCTGCCAAGGTGAGAGCCCATGTCTCTTTTATGGCCAGTCACAAGACACAAACAGTAAAGCATGCAATGCATCAACATCCTACCACATTTGGCAGTATCTTTATGTTAGGATATAAGTTTGAGTCCATTTCTTTTAAAATCTGAGAATCGACATAAAAAGTATAATTTAAGACTCTTCCAGGAGAAGCAAGTATATTTCAGAAAAAAAATAAATGTTCAACACAAGTAGGCAGTGATCCAGGAGAAAGAACATTTTGCTTTCCCAACTCCAAAAGCATCTCTTGTCTAATTACACACTGCCTTCCGTAAGTCAGGCAGCTCTGCAAACTCTCTGCTATCACAGCCTGATGTTTGTTACAGTTTGTCTCTGGACAAAGGACTTTATGTTCCAGTCATGTCCAATTTCAGGGCCTACTCTGCTTCTGTAAGACTTTGTCTTAATGGATTCTTTACCTCCACAATGCTACTTCCAAATAAATAACATTCTAAGGTACTGGGGTTAAGACTCCAACCCATCAACTGGGGGATCCAATTCAACCCATACAGAAGCCTGAGCACAGGACAGAAGTCCCAGGGGAAATTATGGCTCCTGGCTCTCTTTAATAAATAATGACGGAGGTCAATTCCTATTAGTATTCAAGATTATTTCTAATTTTGAAAGAATCTGATATTTCAAAAGAAACATCAAGAGATTCCTGTATCTGCCATCCATAGAAGACAGAGTGAGTTGGAAGATTATTTTTATACTGGGAAAACACAGTATCACTACCTTCAGAATGGAAGTTCCTGAGGGTAGCCATTGTCCTTCTTCTTGTGTGTCTCCAGGAACTAGTACAGTCTCTGACACATGTGGGTACAGACTAAAGATAAAATAATAGAAAAAGTAAATTCTAGATGCAATAGGGTTTCTTTAGCTCATTTAATTTGGAAGATATTTAATGGTAACAAGTACCATTATAAGTTTAAGGCACAGAATCTAATCAGCGCTGGGTGTGGTGGCACACACCTGTAATCCCAGCACCTGGGAGGCTGAGGCAGGAGGATTGCCACAAGTTTGAGGCCAGCCTGGGCTACATAATGAGTTCAAAGGCAGCCTGAACTACATATCAAGACCCTGTCTCATAAACAACAAAGTTAAGAATCTAATCTAATCTAATCCCTTTCCCTTTCCCACTGGATACAGGCCTGTAAGTATATTACACTTGAGATGAGTGTGTATAGCCGCAGGCCTTCATTTCAAATGTTGACACCAAAAAGTGGCACGATAAACTGGGCATGGTGACACATGTCTGTAATCTCAGCACTCTGGGATACTGATGCAGGAAGACAGCAAGTTCTAGCCCAGCCTAGAGTATGATATCAAGCGAGGCGTAAGCATCATCTATGCAGACCACAATCCCAAACTGGTGATCTCTGACTGTCCTAGTAAAGATAATTGCTCATCTTTTATGATGGATGGTAAGGAATATAAGAAGTCCAAGGTTCAGCATGCAGTGCAAAGGTGTGAAATTAGCAATAAAGTAGGTATATACACACACACACACACAATCTCCCTGCTTCCCTGGTCTCTGCCCTCTCCTTGGCATTGCCAAGATCCACACCCTCCATCTATTTGTTAGCCTGGTTTCTGCTTTGTGTGTACACAGCTGTTGAGCCCGCCGGCGCCCTGCCCTCCACAAACCAGCTAGCGCTTCAGTCTTCCTGCCAGGACTCGGTGGCTGCTTCTCAGCAGTGTCTGCTTCTCAGCGGTGTCTGCTTTCTGTCTGTGGAGTGCATTATCCAGTGTGCAACCCGACGAGACCTGCTCCCCAAGATCTTCTGTGGGCTCAGCCATTTTGCCTCCTGCTCTTTCATTGATGTGACCCTTGCACACAATTATGTGTATTTATAGCCTTCCCGTCCCTCTGCCCTTCCTCCATCTCCTCATCCCTTTCCCATTTGAAGGGGATCTAGCTCCCTACTTCCTATTATATCTCTTTCATTTTTCTCTTTATTTATACTTTGGGTTTCTCATACAAGAGAAACCATGTGATATTTAAGCTCATGTGTCTTATTTCAGTTAACATGATGACATCAAGGGACAGCTGCACATCCTTGTTTTCAAGTGTATGCAGCTAGACCCCCTTGATTCCCAGCCAAGTTTCTATTTTTTTCAGTACCAGAAATTGAACCCAAGGCCTCACTAACATTAGGCAATGTATTCCCCTACTAATGCAGATTAGATTCATCTCTCTCTAGTATCCATGTGTCCTGCTGGCTCCTGCGCGTGCTTCAGAGCACCCCACCCCCACTCCATTAACCTTGCAGACTCCACTCCGAACTGAAAACCGCTGACTCATCTCACCTTCACCTCCACGGTCATTTCTGTGGGGAGTGTGATAAAATTATATGTATATGTGTTTATCATATATGACATGATTTTTGAAGGAGATCTACATTCCACGTGTGTGTATATTATAATAAATCTAGTTAGTAAGCAATTATATTGCCTCACATAGTTAACATTTTTGTGATGAAAGCACTTAAAATCTAGTCTCTCTGTACTTTTGAAGATTATAATATGTCATCATTGACCGCAGTCACCTTGCAGTACATGTATATCTCCTGGACCTCCTCCCATCTAACTGTAACTATATATCCTTTTGGACATCATCTCCCCACTTTCCTGATAGCCACCTCAACTTCCTATTGTCTTTAAAGCTTATCCATGTAGCACAAAAGATAATTTCTTTCTTTTTCCCTTTTCAAGCCAAATAACATCCCATTGAATGTATATACCTCACTTGCTACATTTGTCTGTTCAGGCTTCTCATGTTTCATTCTCTCTGAGCCTGCTGACCTCAGTGCCTTTGCTATTGCTGTCTTTCCACCCTGAATGCTGTCCCAGCTGTCCACTCAGATTTCCTTCTAGTGAGGCTTTCTTTTCCCTCCCAAAATGAAGCAACCTCTAGCCATCACTCAGTGGGCACATTTCCCTGCATTTCACACAGGCCGCAGCACATAGTAGGCACTCAGCATACACTCATGGAATGACTAGAAAACGTTCCACTTTCCTTATTTTGTTAAATTAATTTGCCCTCCACCACTACATATGTGCAGGCATACGTACTTAGCAGAAAAGTCTCAAAATAAAAGCTAGAATAATTTTTATGTTTTCAACATACATACAAAAGATCAGAATTTTATTGGACTGGCTTGGGTGACTTTGCAGTTCAGCATTGTTTTAATTTGGCGCTAAATTAGCCAAATTAGTAAGAGCACCTTGTCTTTTTACTGCTCTGGACCTAAAAAGGATTAATTCCATTCCATAATCCAAGAGGAAAGTGGTGAGTAAGAAGCTAAAAGGAGAAAAAAGCCTAGACAAAGAGCTAGGGGACACCCCCCTCTGTGCCCAAGAAAAAGGACTTCTCAAAGACTATACCTTCTCATGTGAAATGGAATTTCTCAGCAATGTCACTCAAGTGTCAGCAATTCAATCTGCTGTCCAGAGCCAGGATGGCCCGGGTTCAGCGTTCCACATTATGTATGACCTTGGAAAATGTACAGAATGCCTTGACTCAGTTTCCTCCTTTGTACAATTAAGATGATAATAACAGTACTTTGGGCTAGGTTTAGGATTAATCATAATATTTCATATCAAAGGCCTAGCACAATGTATAGAGAACATGCTAAGTGCTCAAAAAAAGTTAGCTACATCTGTAAGAAGTGGTGCGTACCTTCCATCCCGACACTGTGGGAAGCTGAGGCAAGAGGGTCACAAGTGGGAGTCTAGCCTGAGCAAAATCTTGTCTCAAAATAGAAAGTTCTTTAAAAGAGCTAGGAATGTCGCTCAGTGTGAAGGCCCTGGGTTTGATCTGTGATACTACACAAACACACACACACTAAGTTAACTACAAGTATTACTTGTAAAGTAAGACGGTTCACATGCCACACAGAAATGACCGTGGAGGTGAAGGTGAGATGAGTCAGCGGTTTTCAGTTCGGAGTGGAGTCTGCAAGGTTAATGGAGTGGGGGTGGGGTGCTCTGAAGCACACGCAGGAGCCAGCAGGACACATGGATACTGGAGAGAGATGAATCTAATCCGCATTGGTAGGGGAATACATTGCCTAATGTTAGTGAGGCCTTGGGTTCAATTTCTGGTACTGAAAAAAATAGAAACTTGGCTGGGAATCAAGGGGGTCTAGCTGCATATATTTGAGAACCCACAAGAATGTGTGGCTATACCTTGATATCATCATGTTAACTGAAATAAATCAGATACATGAGCGTAAATATCACATGGTTCCTCTTATATGAGAAAGCCAAAATATAAAGAAGGAGCAAAATAGAAGAGAAGTAATAGGAAGTAGGGAAATAGAACCCCTTCAAATGGGAAGAGAATCAAGATATGAAGGGAGAGGAGAGAGAAGGGAAGCAAGGGAAAGGGGATGGAGAAATTGAGAATTAGGTACATGTACCAACTCCCCACAAGGAATGTAATTGTTATGTGCTGCAAACATGTACTCAGGTAATAACAATATAAAACCTGAAAAATGTGTGCAAAGGAAACCGTTTCAGACTATGACAGGGCTTGAAGAAATGGGGAAATTTGGCCCCCAAAAGAGGAATGGGGTGTTATGACAGCTAGAATCAACTAGAGGCCTGGGGTACAGGAAAGGAGAAAAACCAAGAATGTGTTTCTCAGAAAGGCAAAAGGTGAGAGCTGTCAGGAGACAGATTTCAAGCAGACATAATAAAAAATCATCTCGAGTTCACAACTGCAGAAACAGATAGAGGAGCTCTACTGTTTAGCATGAGAATGTGATCTATTATCAGTGAAGGGGAAGAAAGGATACGTGATCTCAAATATGTCAGAATTTATTATATATTTTGGTGGGGTTTAGGACTCAATTCTCCTTTGGAGCTAATTGATAGAATTTTTAAATTGGTGTCAAATAAATCCCAAATATGACTAATCATAAACATAATCAATAATAAGACATTTTAATCTGTGAGCATATTTTTTCCTCCCTTTTTCTCTCGATTAACTTTATCTAATTATTTATAAAATAACCTGTAGGGAGCTAAGATTCTAACCTTTTCTAGTTGATGACCTTTTATTTTTATTCTTCCATTTCCATATATCAATATGTAATAAAGCCTTATTAATTAAGATTAACAGAAGGAGAGTTAATTTGAATTATTAGGAAGTCTCAAACACAGAATATTTTAAAATAAATCCAATTGAACTTTCAGGAACACATAGTAAAGCCCAAACAGGCCACCTCTTGTGCCTTCTACAGATGTTCCTCAGGGAATGATTATGAATAACTTAGAAGCCTTTAATTAACATATCTTTGTTCATATGTAAATGTGTACCTTTGGAATAGTTGGGGTTATTTAATACAGTCTGCTGACTGAAATGTTTTAAATATTCCTTTTACAACTGATTCAACAAATTGTTATCAAGCAGCTCCAAACTGCATGGCACAGGAGGTGATCAACCACAGGCCCAGCTTCTACTGCCATAGAGCGGAGAGTCTAGTGATCAAGACAGGCATAAATCAGATCATATAGCCATATACAAACATGCACACACACACACACACACACACACTGTAAAATGACAACTGCAATGAGGATCATAGAGTACATGGCATTCTAAATTATATAAAGGGATTTAACCTAGTCTAAGAAGTCCAGGAGGTCTTCCCCAGGAAATGATTGGATGGGATTTAATAGAAAGGTCACTATTTAACCACATACGGGAAGATGGGAGAATTGGGGCAGAGTATCCAAGTGAAAAGATTATCACACACAAAGACCCTGTGGCAGAAGACACTACTGTGTATTAGAGAATAGAAAAGAACTATTGTGGGGAGTTAGTAATAAGGGACAGAGAAACAACCAGGGACCAGTCCATGAAGGACCATCTCCTTTATTCAAGAAATATGCTTTATCCTTATAAAGAAACATTCCTTAAACAGAAAACATCTTGGCATTCCCTGGTTTTATTATTCTGAATGAGCATAACCTGGATTAGTGAGTTTTAAAGTTATAACTGAAAAGTGTTTCAAAATAACATTTATCCCAAACTAATGACTTCTGTTAGGTCAAAATTACATAAACATACTAACATATGTGATCAAACAAATGAAAACATGAGAATTACATCAGGAAAAGGAAAGACGGGCCACCTAGATCACCTGGCTGCTTCTTAGTTTCCCTTTCCTCTGGGCTACATGATGCTGGGAATCAAAACACACTCCACAGAGCCATAGGAAAAGCATGCCGTGGGGAAAAGGCATGAGCTACCTCAGGAGAGGTCAGGCTCTGTCCTTCCATGCTGGCATCTGGTCAGGATGACCGGGTCTTCCTGCCATGAAGCAGATCCCAAACTTCATGTTTAACCCAAGCTCCACAGAATAGGGTATTTTTGAGTACAGAAATAACCTGTCCACACACATTTGCAGGCCCACCCTTCCAAAAGCTCTGGCACAAGATAGTTTATACTCAAGAGCAAGGTGTTCTGAAATTCAAACAGGCTGCCCTCTGTGATTCCAGGTTGGCAGTGGATGGGCCATTTGGGGCCACTCTGACAGATGTGTTCCACTATCCTGTGAGTGTGTGCATAGCGGCAGGGATTGGAGTCACTCCCTTTGCCTCACTTCTGAAATCTATATGGTACAAATGCTGTGAGTCTCCAAGCCAGCTGAAGTTAAGCAAGGTATGGAAAAATCATTAGTTCATCCGTCCATGGTGTAAAAGATGCACTGTCCTTATATCCATCATCCACCAATTCTTGGGGAGGATTTTAATTAACTATGAGGGATAAACTCAAGGGTCCTTAACTATACTTATGTTCTTAAAAATCTCCATTCGGTACCACTTTTATGAGAAGGGTTATGTCTAATCTTGTTAAAGATGACAAGACATAAATTTTATTGCTTCATTGCCATTACAGGACATGTAATTGCTCATCTCAATAAAATATGGACAGGCTGCAAATGGTGATGTGACTGGGCTCAAGTTGGGGACATTAACAGGCAGCCGTCCTCTTAGTCTCTTTTAATAAATACCATGGTTACAAACATGGAATTCTACCTCTCTCTTTCATAGCCACTATTAGGGCATATTGGCCTATTTACAATGGTGTTGCCTTCCAGCTCTAAGGCTCTCTTTTGTCATTTCTTGCATATTCTCTCACTAGATTTCTTCTTTCTTTTGTCCTAGCTAGAGTCTCCATTCCATGCTTTGACTCTGTAAGGGTGAAAGGAACTTTCTTTCCACCCCTTGAAGTTTTGATAATTTGAGTCTATATAACAGGCAACAGACACATTAACAGAGAAAAGGCACACAGATTTATGAACATGGAAGCACATGAGAGCCACACAAAGTATTAAACTCAAAGAAGGGCCAGATGGGTGAAGCTGAAATTCTCTTTTCATAGGGGAGAATGGAGTGGAGGCTGCAGGCAATTTTAGAGAAGAGTAAATAACTTTCTAGGGGAAGTGAATGGACCCAGGTCCATCCAGTTCTTTCCATGACGTGAGCAGCACATAGTGGATGAGACTTCCAACCTTGCGGGCCCTACTGTGATGTATGATAGTGTAGGAGACTGTGGGGTCTCTGCACCTGACTTCTGCTCTCCCCAAAGAATCGATCTGATTCTGCCCTCACTGAAGCATTGCCTTCCGTGCATTAGTTCACCCCTCACAGTCCACCACCAAAAGGGAGCTTTTTTAGACATATAATGTGGGAATAGAGTTGTACTGTTCAAATGTGGATAAAATTCTACAACCATTCATTTGCTCTGTCAAAGATATAAATAGATTACTAGTACTAATACTAAAATCATCCTGGATGTATCAAGCCTTTATTACCTGCCAGGTGGGGAGCTGGGCAATTTATATACCCTATTTTACACCATCTTTATAAGGCACATGCCACTTTTATTCCCATTTTACAGATGAGAAAAATCAAAGTCAATCACAAAGCAAATAGACATGATAGGACCATCTTTTTTAGGGGGCACCAGGAATCAAACTCAGGACCTCACGCTTGCCAGGTAGGCACTATGTCCCTGACTTAAACCCCTGGCTCTGGACCATCTTATTAAATTATCATAATAATTCATCCAGCTAAAGCTCCCCATCCCTGTTTTACAATGAGGAACCAGAAACACAGAGAGCTAGTGAATACTAGAACCAGAATTTGAGTCTAGGTCCCCCTGCTTTCAAACTCCATCTCCTTTCCTCTATACCACAGGAACTATAACACAGCAAGCATGATGACGACTGTTTTGTATTTCTGGACCACAAGACAAAACATTGCTACGGTTTATGATGACTTCTCAGACTACTCAAACACTTCCTTTCCTCTCGTTGTCTATCAAGGAAAACCCACTTATAGAGGCAGCTCCTTATTTCATGGTTTCCATTACAGTCAAGGTTACACTGTGTTCCAGAGACAGTATGTCTCACTTTCACCTACTCCTTAACAAAGTTTTTGCAGCACCTACCGTGTGCCAGCCTCTCTTGTTCTGACTTGAAAAGTCCATCACACCCAATTTACGACAGCTGAAGTCACACCTTACAGCCTCTCCTTTTTTTCTACCTCCATGGCCTATTTACATTCCTCCTGTCACATCATTTATCTTTATTTCTGGTATTAGGATTCACAAAATATCTTATTTCCCTTAGCAGATTGTGAGGTCTCTGGAAATGGTTTCTCTGGACATCTTCATTAGAGGATATATGTGAGCTGTGGGGCCACTGAGTCAGGGCCAGGGAGCATGTTCCTGATTTCCACTTCAAAGCTGCTTCATGAAAGAAGAGAGGTTTTCATGCTATTGAAATTTTAGGCTGAGAATTATACTTAAGATCCAATTCCTGAGAGTCCACATGCAGGAGAACGAGTTGAAGAAGTTTTTCTCTTTTGAACCAACTTTGTGTGTGTGTGTGTGTGTGTGTGCATGCACACACACACATGCACACGTGTGTGCACACATAAGCAGCTATCATCAGGCTTATGTAACTAATATTTGTTGGGGCCACCCACATGCTTTTGAGATATAAAGACTACTCCTTCCACTAAACTGTCAGCATCTAAATAAATTTGAAAGTGCAGCAATGCGAAGCAGTACATATTCATCTAGCAGCTTCTTCACAATTTCAAGTCTGGGATACAGTTTTCAGATTGCTGTCTTTTGTAACAAGAAAGAGAGAAAAACATCATAGGAGTCCAGAGCTGGAATGTTAAGTGTAGATGGTTAACTATAATTCAGTAGGATTTTCTCCCCTATGCAGGAGGGGCCAGTTGGCATAAAGGTGTACCTTTTACACACCAGCCTCCAGCTGCAAATCTACACACACACACACACACACACACACACACACACACACACAAATGCCACAAACTTTTCTCTATTTTTACCTTTGCAAACAATATACTCTTTACCCTTCTCCTCTGCATGTAATGTTAAGTAAAATGCAGGCACATACCCAATGAGACATCAGCTGGTTCTTTGGGATCATAAGGTGCACTTTCTACTTAAACCTGATGTGGTTTTGTTTTGTTGTTTTGGGGAAGCTATTGGTACATTTTAGACCTACATAATGATAACATCCATTGTAGGGAATTTGTACCTGCACAGGACGTATTCTTTGCTTCTTTTTTTCCCCATTCCCCTCCCCTCCCAATAACTCCTCTTCCCCTCCTATTTACAAAAGCTTTGTTTCCATTTTTTCCTTCTATTGTACTTTTTGTCCCTTCTTTCTTTTCCTCCTCCCCCTCCCTGTTCCCTTCATCATTTGAATATTTTCTTCACATTTCCCAAAATCTATTCTATATTTTGGTCCTCATTTGCACTTTCGGTTTCTCATGCCAGAGAAACAATGCAGTGTTTAAACGTGTGTCCAATTTAATTCACTTAAGAATACGAACCTGATGTTTTAAAAGTTCTTTGTTTCTACCTTTTTTTAAGATAAAGGAGGGGGGTGGGGAGAAATGAGCAGGGGTCAGGGAGAGATCCCTGAGAAGGCAAAATAATAAGTAGAACGATGGCTTGCTGGGAACAAAGTGGAAAAAAGTTGGAACGCATTAAAGGGATATTTTTCAACACAACACAGAAGTAAGAGGCAGATGAGTATACCGTGCCCCTGCGGGTGAGGGAAGGGTGCAGGTGGGGGAGAGGTCTCTGTTGCAACTTGGAAGAAGTCAAATGCTGAGGGGCATAAACGCCCTATAGCAATCAATGTCCTCCAACTCCTACCTAACGGGTGTGATTAATTCTACATCATACTCAATTTGCGAAAAGAGCTCTTGAAAAAAATTAGGACAGTTTGCTTGTGCAACCTGTCAAAATGATGAATGAAATAGGTGTGTATGAATGGGGCGGGAGGAGGGAGACTGCTGACATAAATATATTGGCTTACACATTTTAGTTCTTCCTAATATCACAGCCATGTCGATGGAGCTGAGGGAATGGGCACCTGGAGTGTTCAGTTCATTTTCTTAATGCATATGTAATCTTCAGACTACAATAAAATAGATTATGGAAAAACTGAGATAATCTAATTTCTCCATAAATTGTCTCTCTTCATCAACTCAATAATAGATAATGGCGATAATGGGTATTTATAGTGTGTCCCATGCAAAATGGCCTTTGGGTTCTTAACCTAATATAATAAACAGATAATTCAAATAAAAAGACAGCGCAGGCCAGTGGGGAACAAGGGAAACAGGCCAAGAAAGACAAAAATCCATACCCTACTTAAAGATATTAATAAAACAAAGAACAGCCCGCTCTCTTTTCTAATGAATGAAAAATGCATTTAATTTAATCTGTTTAGTTTCAGAAATTATTTACTTTCACTCTCCCTCACACTGGAGCTCCTGCCACCCCTGGAATTGATCATCTCTCCTAACCACCCGGAGCTGTAATCAATTCAGCTGGGTGGCATGAGGCCACGCCCACATCTCCTGAAGACACATGGGCTCCCTTCTTTCATTAGAAAGGTCAAAAAACTTTAGCACTCCGCTAGGCTTCACCAGTGTGCTGTTAATATTTTTAATATCTTGGCTTATTAACCACACAAGCCATACATGACTACAGCTTCCTTGTAAAAGATCCAAATAAAACACATAGTCAAAAATCCCCTTCCATTCACTTTCTCCCCATACTAACCACTACCCCAAAGATCCCTGACCCCGTGAAGCAGGCCAGTGGGTCTTATTTCATCCATGTTCAATGCATTCACACATACAGACCTATACAGAACATGCATGCAGGGTGAGACAGTTAAATTTGATTGGCTTTAAAGCTGCCTAGGGGATTGGTTGAGCATACTTCTGTATGTCTGGAGAGGTCACAGAGGAGTGACCTATGACCCCATGACTCTATCTGGTCCCTTGCCCCTTACTTTTGATAATATTTCCCTGCTCTGTTTCCCAGCCACCATGAACTAAGCAGCTTTGCTTCACCACACTCTTCCACCATGATGTTTCTGCAGTGGAGCCAGCCTATCATGGACTGAATCCCCTGAAACAATGAGCGAAATTAAACCTCTTCTTCTTTAAGATGTGGGTAACTGGGTACCATGTCTCAGCAACAGAAAAGCTTGCTACTATACAGAGAATATTATTTTTGCATAAATATGCACTTGCGCTGTGGAAGGAGAATGTCCATTTGACTCATTCTCCCTGAGCTACTGAAAAATTCTTACAAACAAGCCAAGACTTGGGGACCATAAAAGAATACACTCAAGAGACAGCACAGGGGCTGGGGATTTAGCTCAGTGGCACAGCGCCTGCCTGGCAGGTGCGAGGTCGTGAGTTCGATTCCCAGTACCAGAAAAAAAAAAAAGAGAGAGAGAGACAGCACAGCACTGAAAACTAGGTCCTCTGTAATGAACATGGATGAATTGGGTCAAGTGGTTAGCACCTGGGAATGATGTAACAGTAAAAGCCTGTGCCAGGTCACACACATAGAGAACCTCAGTGAGAGTCATTGAGTGACCTTGTAAATTATCTAAGCATTCACTACAGGAAAGTGAGGTTACTTTCATTAGCATGAAAATTCAGACTTTCATTATTTTACTGCAGATGACTTCTTCTTAATAAAGTCTTTTAAAGTAACCTGAGGTATATTGAGCCTCTAATATTATCCACAGAACTCTAACAGTTATGCTTTACCCTGGGAACTGGTTTTAAGGTTTGTTTTATTTTTGGAGACTCAGGTGGGGACAGGGCTGGAAAGTAAAGATCACAGAGTAGTGGCCTATTGTTTGAAACACTTTGTCTGCCATTGACCAGGTCCTTTCTGTGGCATGAAATGCAGAGGTAGAACTCTTATGTCACTTCACAGTGAGTGACCTCTACCATTAGAAAGATGAAAGTCAAAGTAAATATTCTTTTCTCCTGTTCAAAGTATTTTTTTTAATTTTCTTTTCTTCCTGAAGCATGTCTACTAGGCCTATCCATTTTGTCTCCATAGTCTCTGGCACCCAAGCCACCAGTGTCACCTATAAGTCAGTTATGAAGGGAAAAACACACAAAGCCATTATAAGGAAGCAAAAAGTGTAAAGGCTTGGCAAACCCTAAGATTACTTTCACACAACTCTGCCAAAGAAAGTAAGGACAGGAATAATTGCTGTTTGAAAAGAGAGTGAGTGGGGAGGAAGCTACGATGTGGACAATTTTCCAGTAAGGAAGGTTGGGGAAAGTTTTCTTTTAAAGCAAAAGTTTTGGTTTGTTGTCCATATGTGAAAGTATTTGAGGTGTATCCCTTGAAAGGTGGGAAGTACATCAGTGTTTTGTTCTTCATGTAATGCCAGCTTTCACGTTCTGAAATAAGACAGCTTACAGGGGACAAGAAGAGGGACAGGCGCTAGGTGAACAGGGCAGTAAATTCTGTCAGTAGAATTTAGCCAACAGGTTTTACACCTCCTGGGGAGCAAAACAAGGTAAAGCGGGGGCCACTAAGGTACCCAGAGAACTATTTGGATTAAGTGCCTCACAAAGTGGAAAGAAGAAAGACAGTGGTATTCATTGCCCACATAGATATCAAATCAACTGCTTCTCAGCTTCCCTCTTCCTCCCTTGCCTCAACACAGCAGCCAGAGAGAACAGACCCAGCCACAGGCCTGCAAGCATGACCTGCGTCTCTAGACACCCAGTAGTGCCTCCTTCCTCTTGCAGTTCTACAGTATCAGGACTTCCCCCAGTCTCCCCTCGCCTCTCCTGCATCCTCTGCTGCCCCACCTCTAGCACTGGACTCCAGCCACGCCCACCCCCTGACTCCTCCTGGAGAGCACCAGTGAAGTCCTCCCACTCCTTCTTCCTAGGCTCTGCAGGCTCTTCCCTAGCCAAACGGCTCTCTTGCACTGCTAGACTTTGCTCACATGTTCCTCCCTCAGTGAAGCCTCCATGGTCATTCTCCTTACTTCTGGGAGCCCTTCCAGCCTGCCTAAATGCTCTTCCCTATTCATTGTACTACTGTAGTCTTTACCCAATATCTGTTTATAAAAATAAATAAAATCTAAAATAAGATTGAAAAACAAAAGAAAGTCAGCTGCCAGAAGGGGCTGCGTCTCTGGGTTCTAGGAAGAAGTGAGAACCAAGAAAGGGAGGCAGTTCTTTGGGGAACGTAATCGTGCTTAGGGACTGAGAGATTATTTGTCCTGCAGTTAATACCTTCAGTGCCCTTTGGAACAGGAGTTGTCCAGCAAATAATACCTTCTAATTCTTGAGTGAAAATGCCTCATCCTCACGAGCTTTTGGTCTTCCTACTGATATTATAACTTCCTGAGTAGACCTAAAGGGACTAGGCATGATGTTGCTCCTTGAAATACACCTATGATTTTCTTTTCCTCATGAATTTGATCTATTAATTAAATCTCTCTATAAATCTGATTATATGATTGTGAGCGTGCAAGCTGGCTGGCGGAGAGGGAGGGAAGAGTACATTGACTACTGGGGGAGATGCTTCCAGGTGGGGCCATATCAGGCAGCGCCTGGATTTGACACCAGCCCCCAGAGATGTTGATAAGCCCCAGAGCTGTCTTTGGTGAGAAGGTGCAGTGGGGGGGAGTGAGCAGTGAGCAGCAGGGGGTAGGAGTGTGAGAAAAATAATCCAAAGAATTAACAGATTTCCCTCCTGCGGTTTCTTCTAGATGCAATTATCTGAAACTCCAAGCACAAAACTAAGCTTTTCTTCAACAAACCCAAACTACCTCTTGTCACCTGCTATTTCACTCAACACTGAGAGATTTTTAAAAAGAAAGAAAGGAACTTCCTAGACATAATTGCACTATAGCGGTTGACACACAGACACAGCTTCCACCTACCCACTTGCTTGGACACTAATGTGTCTCCCCAAGAGGAATTTTCTGGCCCGTGTGGCCGGATTCTGTAATTACCATAATCTCCATTCTCCAGAAGCTATGGCTGGTGAAGTGGATTAGTGCCCAAGCCTTTGGGGTCTCCAGAGAAGAGAGTTGAAATCCCGAGCTTAGGTCATAAGTAAAGATGAAGGGGGTTAGTCTAACGGCTTATCCCCTTTGGGGAGCAGTGAAAGGCATAGCTAGTTATGATTATTAATCTTGTTCAGAAGCGCAGCTAGAAGTGTGGTGAGTTGATCCTCATCCAGAGGAACTGGCACAGCCCACAGGCTCCTGACTCTGAATGCACTCTGGGCATTTTCAAACAGTGTGAATTTTTTTTTTTTTTTTCAAAAGAAATTACACTGTGGTGGTTTGTTCACTTGCAGAGAAAAGCATGTTATTTTGCAGAAGTGCCCATTTGGGCTCAAATAATTTAATAGAGATAAAGTAATCTGTGATTATCGGCACATTATGGAAAGAGGGACAGATCAGTTCTCCTGCCTTCTCTCTTGACAGGTGTATTTCTACTGGATTTGCCGAGATGCACAGGCATTTGAGTGGTTTGCCAGTCTCTTACTCTCACTGGAAACACGGATGAGTGAGCAAGGGAACACGCACTTTCTGAGTTATCATATATTTCTTACTGGTTGGGATGAAAATCAGGTATTGATAAGATTTGAGAATGATCATTATTGCCTGATTTACTTAGTTTGGAGCAAAGAGAAAAGGGATGATTTCAATAATGAACTGGATAGTTATCTGGTAGCATGGAAGAATTATTTTTATGTTCTTAAAAAAGAAGGGAGAATGAAATAAAAGCAGATTGGAAAGAGCTATTTAAGTTACAACAATAAAAGAATTCATGGTTCTCTTACTGAGGAAAATAGAAAAGAAGATAAACCAGCTGGGCTGTAGAAAACAATCTAGAGATTAGAAAATCCTAAATAAATTCACATTTGTCATTTAAGAGTGACCTAAGTAAATATTATTGATTGGTTGTATTGTCTGTACAGCCCCCAGTTTGTTCTAATTCCATGCTTTCAGCTTCTCAGAATTAAACAGGAAAACTTCCCAGTGTTTATATTCAACCTTTTGTATTGAAAAACATGTATCTCCAGAAAATAATGACAGAGGTCAAATTTTTCTGGAGATTTCTTTTTCTTAAAGTGTTCTTTAACTTGTGTGCATATATGTTTATTTACCTAAGATAGATATGATCTTCTGTTTGGGTAGGTGTTCTGTGGTGCATTGTGTTAATGAACTATTAGGATTGAGATTATGAAAAATAATGTACATCAAAACATTGACTATGGTAATATTTCACTCGTGATGAGATTTAATAGTAGTTAGTCTGTCTGAATCTAGTTTAACTCCTCAAGTATGGAAGTTAACAAGGAAGTAATTACTAGGTTTTAACCAACACTTCTATATAGCTATCACTGATAAATACTTTTAAGGAGAATGTACTTAAAACAAGGAGATTTGCATTAATCACTAAATTTACAAATGGATGCACTGTATGTGTCACACACACACACACACACACCAGACCTTTATAGAACTCTGCTATAGTTTGACACTGCTGCATAAATAAATAAGATTTTGTTTGAAATTCAGTAGCATTTTGAATTTTTATGGTTTTGTTTACAGTCCTCCTTAAATATTTACTCTTCTGGTGTAATTTGAAATTTAGGTTTCTTGAAGCCAGGCTTGAAACATCTTAAAGAATTATATACCATTAATTACGTTTTTCAAACAAATCTTTCCTATTCAAGTAGGATTTTTGACTGATAATCCATTTGGTAAAGTACAGACACAGTTTTTGTTTTTTGCTCTCTAACGTGATGGTTTCTCTTCTTCTTCTGAACCAGTTGAGCCCGAATGTCCACTTAAGCATTCTTTATCATCAGGGAGTTATGAGACTTGACTTATTCTGAGAACCCAAGTCAATCTTCTGACAACACAACCCTACCCTCTCCTATCGCTCCACTCCCAAGAATACAGTATAAAACATATTTTTTCTAAATACAACTAAATTAAAACAGATACCATTTTAAATTTTCCTCATGACATGGTGGAAATTGTTTAGACTCTCGAATTTCAGGCAGGAAGTCACTAATCTTAACAGCTAAGGAAAAAATAATTGGTGCATTCTGTCAGTAAATCAAGCACCAAGAGGCTGTTTCAGAAATAGCCAATTGTTAAACTGAATTCAACAACCTCAAAATGGCAAAATGACAAGAACAGAAGGAACAGATGGAAGAGGTACTACGAAGGGCAAATCAAAAGAGTTTGGAGATTAATTGAACATTGGGCTGAGAAATATGGAATAAATATAATTCCAAATGTCTGAGCATCATAGTTGGCAATACCACAACAGAAGTAAAGAAGACCTTTTTCCCATCAAATCATGACCAAACTTCTCAGCAAGTACTTTAAGGCCCTTTCCAACCTTAACAAGCTCCATCACTGTCCTCAGCCCCTGAGGTGCCAGAGGATGTGAGCTGCATGCTTGATTCTCCTACTATGCATGCTTACATCTCCATACCTTTGCTCACGGTCATCCCTCTCCACCTCCCAGACATGTTATTCAATGTCTTCTGCCATTTTCCTACCCTCCCTTTGCCTGGAGTCTAATTTCCAAATTCTTTTCCAGTAGTCGTGCTGTGACCTGGGGTCTGACTTGCCTGACAGCATCTTGCAGCCTCGATTTTGTAGATTTCTGTCTTCCACCTCCTAGGACAATCTCCATTATTTTCAGCTAAACTTTCCCTTCTGTGGTTGTTTCCTCAGACTAGGAAGAAGCCCATCTAGGCAAAACAGGCTCCCAGTAGGAACCTGAGGCATGGGTTGGGTCAGCAGAGCTACTGACAGACTCAGAATTAGGAAGAGCCAGAGGGTAAAAGAAAATGGAATGTCAAAAGGGAAGACACAAGAGTTCACCAGCTGGTGATGTGTTTGGGGTAGAGCAAAGCATACAGATCCTAAGCAGAGAGAACCAAATGGCTACTAGAACTCAGCAAGGGCTGAAATAAATGATAGAAACTTAAAACATGATCACTAGAGATTGATACGCCACAGGAATTTATATATTGATCATTTATTACATGATGCTGGGCGGATTCACACTGGGCAGGCAGATCCAACCATGCCCCTTCTATGCTGTCATTAACATGTACTGTGTGCCAGACTCAACACTCTCCTAGTACTTGAAATCTAGGAGTGTTCTCCATAGCCATGGGTCCCAAATCTGTGGATTCCACCAACAGAGGACTGAACCTACTTAGGAAAAAAACTGTGTCTGTACTAAACATGTGTGAGCTTTTTTCTCTACTCATTATTCCCTAAATAATAGACTGTGACAGCTATTTACATTCTGTTAGGTATGATAAGTCATCTAGAGATGATTTAAAGTATATGGAAGGATACACATAGATTATATGCAAATACTGTTCCAGTCTTGTCTAAAGAACTTGGGCATCCACTGAGTTTGGTACCTGCAGGAAAAGGAGGTGGTTCTTAAACCACTTTCCCTGGGATGTAAAGACTATACATCAAATTGCCTCAACCCAGTATGCAGACAAATGTAAGACCCAACTTCTTCCTAGATATTTCATAACACTTTAATCTGGCAAGGCCCTTCTCAGATCCCCAGGATTTAATGTAAAGTGAAGGTGGACAGCAGGTAGAGATTAATTTTTTAGAAGTTTGGCAGAAAAAAGGAATATATTTAGTGCTGCTTTTGCTTAACCACATTTACTGTACTACTCTTATCCTTTCAAAGAAAAGCATTCCTTCTAGCTTAATGTTATTGCACACCTACTATATACATAAGAAAAAAAAAAAGTGTTTTGTTCCAATAAGGTCCAGTACAGTACTGGCTTTGACAGCACATATACTAAAAAGGTCCAGTACAAATAGAAATGAGGCATGATACTTTCCCGAAAGTACAGTATCAGTGATAAGCATTTCCAGCCTTATAAAAAAATTTTGTATTAAATCTACAAATAAGCACAGTGATTCCATGCTTTAGTTATACAAGGCTTTTGTTTTTGTTTTCTAAATGTTATCTAATACCATAATTGTTATTTTAGGCTATTCACATAGCCTTACACTGGGATGAAAACACAGATGTGATTACTGGCTTAAAGCAGAAAACCTTTTATGGGCGCCCCAACTGGAACAATGAGTTCAAGGAGATAGCCTACAGCCACCCTAGGTAAGCAAGACCAGCTCTCCTACCTCTGCCTGCTGGGAAACTCCCTGGAGAAGTTATTCTGCAGTCAGTGCTCTGCACCTGGTTTTGAGATATAACATCTACCTTAGAAAACATGGTCATCGTCTATTTCAGGAACAGCAAACCTGTTGTAATTGGCTGACAGCCTCTTAAAATTATCGATTATGTTGAGATTTTTCACACTTAACCTCAATTTAAAGATGGTATTTCTTAAACAACATATGCCTTCAAGAAATCTTTGGTAAGTACAGTTATCTCTAATTACCCAGCTGGAGAATTCACTACATCCAACTGTACAGAGTATGTAACTTGTCTAGCAAAAGCAGAGAAAAAATGTTGTTAGGACCAAGCTGGGATTTAGGGTGGTGGTCAAAAACTTGGGATCTGGAGCCCAAACATCTAGGTGTGGTTTCTAGCTCTGCCCCCTCACTGGTGTACACTTTGGTTAATTACCTATCCTGGTTCTGACTCAGGCTCCTCCTCTGAAAACTGTAAATAACAGTGCTTGCCCCCAGGATTGTGACAAGAATAAAGGTGCAAATGCTAGTCAAGTTCCTAAAACAGTGCTTTCTGCATGACACTTAGTAAATGCAACCTGCTGTTAGTACTGTTATTGTTATTTCAATTACTACTATTATTTCCCTTATGTAATATACTTTAATATAGAGAAGAAAAAATATTTGCTCTGGGACCTCAAAACTTGAGTGAATCCTGTACATCCTGACTCTGGAAGTTTCTAGCTATGTGACAGTGGACAAAGTAGCTTATTTGAGCTTTCATATTCCATTGTAAAATGTGGATGATAATAGCTTTTGCACCCATTGTAAATTATAGATGATAATATCCCATAACAGTATTGCTTCCCTAACTTAAAAAAATGCATAGTATGTTGAAGAGTTTGGTAAGTATAAAATACTAACACAGTTACTGTTGCTACTGTAAGTCTCCCAAGCCAGTCTTTGGCCTGAACCTTTGTTATCTGTGACTCCTGGAAGTCAGCATGTCCTATCATTGTCTCCATTAAAGAACAGTTTTCATATTTGAGGAAAGATCTGAAGGAAAGTTTTCATATTTGAGGAAAGATCTGAAAGATCTGAAAGATCTGTGCCATGGGGAAAGTTGGGAACAAGCACATTCCTCTGTTCCTGGCATGAACCAGAGAGCCAGAGGAGATGAGAGAGACAGTTATCAGATACGGCATTTAGAAGTGGCAATTGGGACAGCTGCTGGTCATCATAAGACTTTGGTTTTTATTCTCAGAGTACAAGTCACTTAGAGGTTTATCCCCAAGAGTGGTGTGGAGTCACTGAGGCTGCTCTAAGAGAATAATTATAAGGAAGCAAGGACAGAGTGGAGAGTCCAGCAAGGAATAGGCAGTGGTGATTTCTCGGTAGTAAGAAAGGCTCAGCGGTAGAAGTGGCAAGAAGCAGTTGGTTTGTGGACTTTTTATTTTTTACTATTGTGCTAATTATGACTAGCTGATGAACTGGGTGTGAGGCATGACCCATGCTTGAATGGAGTTGCCACTTACTAGTGTGGCAATGACTGTAAGAATTGCTGGTTGGCAGACATGGGATACCAGGAGTTCCACTGTTCGTGTCTTTAACTTAAAATGCCTATTACATCTCCTGACATCCAGTAGGCAATGAATGAGTTAAGCTTCTGGGGAGAAGCTCAGCTGGAAGTACCAGAATGCAAACCCCTTTTGAAGCTATGACATCAGGACCAAAGGAGCAGATAGAGACTGACAAGTGTTCTAAGAACCACAATATTTGGAAAGTAGCGGAACACACTCTCTACGCCAGGTCATAAAGTGAATTATATATTACTCATATACACCTTTTCATCATGCCATATGGGTCCTCTATGCCCTGAGTTTTTTCTGTCTCCTTTATCACTATTGAAAAAGCAAGAGTCAATTAAAATCTCCTAGGATGTTTCTGGCCACTTCTCTATCATCCATAATTGCTTTATGCATTTTCCTTGCATTTCTGCTCTGTGTTCTTTCTTCATAGAAATCGTGCTTCATTAGGCTTTTTGTAGTTTCCTGGTATTTTTTCTGCTCCATAAAATACTTTTCTGGTGAGTATTATTCATCTTTTGGTCAGCTTAGTTCATTTTTATATTTTTTTATGTTATCCTTGTACCAGGACTATGCCATTGTATTCCTTTTTTATTGCCATCTCATTTGCAAGACTTTTTTGAACAGTTACATGAAGGAGGTTAGGAGGGGAGGGAAGTGTGGAAGGAGTGACCAGGTAGCCACCCAATGTCCATCAACATATAATTTCAGTTTCCTCCTTCCATGTGATGTTACTCCAAGTTCAACTGCCCCATGCCCGGTGAGGCCCCAGCCAATTCTCCGTGTACTCTGTCCCCTGGCAGCCTGTCTGAACTCTAGACCCAAGACAAGAGTGTCCTGTGAGGAGGTTCCAAACTCCTGAGTGCACAGTCTGGAGAAGTAACAGGTAAAGGGATGCTTGTAGAAACTTCCTCCTGACTTTGAATCAGCCTGGAACAAATCTCCAATAAGAATGTCCAAAACCAAAAGGTTAACTTGTAACTGCAGGGCTAGAGGAAAGATGGCTAGACAAACTACACAATCTTCCCATCTCTTGTCCACCCCATGAGCTCAGCCTCGGAAGACCTGTGAGAGCTGTCACCCCATGGAAAGAGGCCTTGAGACTCTTCCCAGGCACTACATCCTGGAGTTCCCCCTTGTGCTATTGTGCCTCTTGACTCGTCTCTTGCAGACAGTTGGCTGAGATCCAGCCCTAGAGCTCTACCTTCTCTCCAAGAGTGGGGTTTCCCACCCATCCTAGCCTGGAGCATCAGAATCCAGTTCCTCTGGGCTCCTACAAGGCACCCAGCCCTAGATCCTGAATTCCCAGCTTCTCTGCACCCTGAGAGTCACCACCCCTTAACCAGTCCCTATCCTGGTCCTCTGTAGAGCCAACATGAGATAATTTTGTCTGCAGTTTCCTTAAAAAGCTTCTTGGTAGAAATTAACATGTTAGAAGCTCATATGTGACAACTAGGGTTTTTCCTTTTTTTGTTCCTATTTTTCTCCTTTTGGGGGAAATATATTCTTGGATAAATGTTTTACACTCAAATTTCAATGATCACAAAATGAATTTTCTCACTTTTCTGGCTTTCACAGACATACATATCTTTAACTGTTTTCAGATAGTCCCACTCTTTGTCAAGATTGTCCCTTATTGATATCGCACACGCTATTTGTTTATTTTTGTTATACCTGAAGTTTGCAGCCCAGCAGGCAAAGTTTTTCAAGCCAAACCACTTAATTATCTCTCCTCTCTCCAAAAGTGTGAGCCAGAAACACAGAGCGTCAGGAGACTGCTGGTAAAACTGGGCTTGCACAAACTCAGTCTGGGAAATTATGCTCTGCAGCGCTGAGAAGTGAAGCTGTCCAATTTTTCCAGGGAGTGAGGAGTAGAAAAGAATTTTAAACTGGGAAAATAATATCTCTGTCACTTCACTGCTGCCCTTGTCAGGAGTGTGTTTGTTCCTTTTCAGAAGCCATAATCAATGTACACAAATGCACTTAAGGCCCAGTTGCATTTTTCTGCACAGTAGCTCTGCAAACTCTCTTTATGATGGATAATTTCACGTCTTCCAGGGAAGAAGAGGCTCCTAAGGTTTGGATTTCACTGAGTCAAGCCACGGTGGCACATGCCCTAGTCCAAAATATTTTAAATATCGTATTTGTGATAGCTTTACTCCCTAGAACACAGCAAGTTGTTAGATAGCTTCAAACCTCAATGTAATGACTGTGAGACACATACAGGCAAAGTCAATTATTGCTTCATCCCTGGGATGCCAGGCCTCTGAGAAAAGGTAAGTCACCAGAAAAAGTTTAGCACCACCCCTCCAGAAGACTTTTAAAATGACCTCCTTAAAATACTTTTTTGTTTTCTGCTGTGTAAAAGAAGATTTATGTTTAATGAAGCTTTTAATGAAGAAATCTCGGAAAGAGAATGCCAATAAAATCTAATTTTTAAACAAGAAAATCTAATATGGAAAAGTATTTCAATATCCTGGCCTTTGTCCAGATAGAAATGAAACACACAATCCAATTACTGTTCTGCACAAAGGACAAAGTAACATTAATTTTCTTCAAGATGGTTATTAAAGAGATAAACAGTATGTTTTCCCCTTACTATGTGAAGGATATGTTTGTTCCCAAGCCTGCTTGGCTATTCTTACAAGGCAGACTTATCCTGCCATTAGCTCGTATCTTTTGGCAAAGATGGGTCAGAAGAAATTGGGGGGTTTGTCAGAAAAGGTTCTTTGTTCTTGAGGGCCTTTGAAGTAAGCTCTCAACTATTTCTATTCATCAGTGCAAAGCCAAGGATTCTTAGGACTTACTCTTATAAAAACATTTACCTGTTCGCTCAAAGCTAGAGTCTGCTCTCGTCCTAAGAAGAAGGAGTTAAATCAAAAGAATAAGGGGAAGAGAGGCAAAAATATTTTTTTATAGAACATGAAAAACAGCACCAAAAATAAAGCTTGAAGGGAAGCAGATCAAAGAGAGTTGGGCAAGCTCTAAAAGAACCAGAAAATTGCAAAAATAACAGTAATAGAGAAACAAATTGATGGCATCAAAATGAATACAAATAAGGAAGAGGGAAGAAAAATTAAAAATAGATCAAAGACTGGAAGCAGAAAATAGGAAAAGTGTATCCTATTGTTTTATGTAATTAATCTTGGTAATTATATCAGCTGCACTTACGAAAATATGAGTATAGTTTTAGAAAGAAAATCAACAAATACTAGGTAGATGTATAAAAAATAAGTGTTATTGCTATGCCCAAACTCACACGCATGTGACAATTATTGTGTTACTGCAGTCAGAAGTACAAAAAATACTCTAAACATAAAAACAATTGAAATAATTCTCCCAATTGAAATGTGGTAGCCTAATTAAATGCATGCATTGACATCTCTGTCTTACTGATCTA